GGTAAGTATTATAAACATAACTGTTACTTATCATATTTAAAATAAAAGTCGCAACTATCACAATCATTTTTACATGTGTGTATGCATTTAAATATGGTTATATTTATAAATGTTGCTCTTCTACGCGATTCTCACTAATTCAAGTAAGGTTAGGCAAGAAATCTTTGTTTTTAAGCCAATAAACATTGTATCTGCCTTCCTGTTCTATCCAGGTGGTGTGTTTCTGTAGAAGTTAGTCTCCCGCCTACTCATAGATGTCGATCGAATAATCGTGCGTGTGATTTAACAAGTGAGTACGTAATTACAAAAACAAAAACAATTTATCTATATAATATTTTATGTAAATTATTTCTAATTGCCTCTTTTTATGCTTTGGGGCTTAATTTGCCTCAAAAGCTTGGATTAGGGTAAGGTTTGGGGTAAACTTTAAACTGAAATTTCGGGCTGAAGCCGATTGCGTCAAGTTGAAACCAAATATGGCTTGGCTTGGGTTCCGGTTTCGTTGGATTTGGTTCGTAGTAAGAAATAAATTCGAAGTCTGGATTCGAACCGGTTCAGTTGAGCCTGTCTACATGAATCTTTTGTGCTCTGCGCTCAGTTGTTTGGCAACTTCTAAGCCATTTGCGTTCAGCTTGGGAATTTTGTAAACTGCGATGCAGTATATCGTGTGTGTGTGTGATGGGCTGTGTGTGTGGGTATTTGTGATAGTGGTGTGTGTGATAGTGGTGTCTGCTGTCTGCTGCCTGTTGCTGCTCCTAACTCACATTTGACACTAACTGCATTTTGTAGACTTTTAGCCACGCCCCCAACACCGACCGCCGCCCCTCCCGCCATTCTCCCCGCCCCTTGCCGCTCGACCCGCTTGCCGCTGAGCGCTGACTGCGAGCTGTAAGTGAAATCTTTCAGTGCGTGTAAAATGCCGTTGCTCGGTTTTTGGGTGCCACGCCCACACACTTGCCTGCTAGTTGGGCGGCAGCAGCAGCAGCAGCAACAACAACAACAACAACAACAACGCCAAGCAACGAGTTGGACAACAATGAAATGCTTTTAGCATCGAGCTGCGAGCTGCGCAGCGCCAAGCAAAATTAAGTTAACAACACAGAAAAAAAAAGTTTTGTGCACTGTTTTTATTGAAAATTGAGTTAAAAAACAGAAAGTGTCGACGAGTCGACGAGTCGTTTTCTGCGTGTTGTATTTTATTTTAACATGCTCCTCTGGTTGTTGTGCATGCACACACACACAAACACACACACACACACACACGCACAACACACCCAGAGCAGGGTGAAATGCACTTACATAAAATTGTCCCTAGTTTACTTTGACTAGAACCTAATCGAAAGCGGCCATCAAAACGTATTTAAAAACTCTTTAAACTAACATGTTTTTTGGTTTCGTTCTTTTTTTAAGTTGTGTTTTCTTAAAAAATAAAATTTATTTTCCTTAATGAGATCAGTTTTTTAGGTGGGTCCAATTCACATACAAAGCTAAACCATATTTTTGGCATGTTTTTTTTCTTGTTTGTTTGTTTTGCCATTAACATTTGATCCAATTAGAAAATGTTATTTGCTTTCAAAGTTTTTTGTGTTATTTGACTTGTCAGGTTTTGGAAAATGCAGAAAATGATTTTCTAGCTCAAAAGCAATGCACTGTCATTAGCGGACATGTTTTTGTGGATGAATAACTTTGTGGTCACAATTTGTCCTCTGGCCAACAATTTTTACAGCCAGAAACATGAAAGTTTTTCAATTATTTAAAGCAGACAACTTGTTGCTACAAGAAAATGAAACTTTGTTCAATTAATTCAAATAAAAACTTATTTCCACTCACTCCATACTTTTGATATTTTCAGATATTTTTTTTAATTTTTCAAACATTTTTATGGAATATTCTTTCTGCCTCATTTTTATTTATATTTAATTGACATCAATTATAAATATATTAAAATATATACATATATAGAGAGTCATGTACATATGCAAATAAAAAATAAAAATATAAGAGGAATCAGTTTTTATTTGAATTAATTGAAAAATATTAATTTTCCTGGACCAAATAGTTTTTTTTTTAAATAATAATAATAATAATATATGGCAGACATACTTAATGTTCTTCCCAGACTTTTAACTGTCATAATTCTGTTACTATTTTTATACCCTTGTAGAGGTTATTATAAGTTTGTTTTGAAATGTGTAACGCATAGAAGAAGACATCTGCGACCATATAAAGTATATATTTTCTAGATCAGCATCAATAGCCGACTTACTATAGCCATGTCTGTCTGTCTGTTTCCATGCGAAATAGTCTCCTAGGAATAAAGCGTTTGCATTGAAAATTTGCAAAGGTTCGTCTTTCTGTTGCATGAAGTACATATGTCGGAACCGGCCGGATCGGAACACTATAGCATATAGCTGCCATAGGAACAATCGGTCGTAAAGTTGGTTCTGGTATGAAAACCTGTCTTTATATTAAGATAACTTGACCAAACTCGGGTATAATTAGTTCCATTATAATGCTTATATATATATGCAAAATCTTATCAAGATCGGACCACCAAAAATCGGTGGAATAGTAGGATCTTATAACGCAAAATATTCTATTTTCAAAGATATTTCAACTAGCTCATCATTTTCGAGCTTCACTATTCTCACATGTCTGCAAGACCGACAGGCAAATATCTGCAAGGGTATTAAATCTTCGGTGCGCTGAAGACATCCTCACTTTCTGTTGTTTTTGTAATCTATTTAGTTTTTGCTCGATTTCATTCGGACTCCACTGAAAATGCGCACAAAAAGTTTCACACCAATCAAACTACAATCGGACATTGGTCAACATTTTTAGCTACTAGGCTTTAAACGTTATAGTACAGTATGTTATAGTTGTGTTTGGAGTATATATAGTAGTGCCTCCTTGATTAGCCCTTAAGTATCCTTACCTTGTTGATTGCGATGTGCGCTCAATTAGCTAAATATTTGACATTCCAAAAGTTTATTAAAAGAAATTATATGCCAAGTGTGCACTTGACTTTTTTAGCTGTTGGCTTTCATCAGGCGCATTATAAATATATTGAAGTACTATATGCAACATAATTAAGTGAAGATTTTCAATTTGTTGATGAGCAACAAATGATGAGCCGGAGTCATTGGCCAAGCGGCAGAGTTGGCGCAGCTGCCGCAAGCCAAGGGCGTGAGGGATGGGGCGGTTGGTGCAGGGGAAGAGGTGCTGCTGGGGCGAGTCAAAGTCTCTCGAAGGTGCTCAAGGAATCTCAATAAAAGTTGTCGACAGGGCAACGCACACACGCACACACAGAGAAAGACGCTCTTTAGGTCTGCCAAATCAGCGCAGAGATCACACAGACATAGGTTCTGCGTGTGTGCGTGCGTGTCCGTGTGTGTGCGTGTGTGTAAGCATAAAATTTATAAATTATTGAATCTATGAAAATATGAACATCACGTACGCGACGACGCGCGCTTCAGCTGCTTTTTGCCAGGACGAACTATTCACAGCAGCAGCAGCACAATTACAGATACAAATGCAGGCTACAGATACAGATACAGCTACAGATACAGATACAGATACAGGCTATAGATACAGATACAAACAAGACAATCGCACAAAACGAACATACAGCTATGCACAAAAGGCAAAGTGTGTGCGAGTGTGCGTGTGTGTGTGTGTGTGTGTGTGTGCGTACGTCAGAATATGCACAGAATTTCATTACGCTGCCTGCGTTCGTCGTTCGTTTTTATAAATAAGTTAGTTGGCAACCCTGCCAGCCTGTTCGTTTGTTTGTTGTTTGTTAAAGTTTGTTCATCTGTTTCGTCGCGTTCGACGTGCTCAACATTATTGGCGGCTTCGCTGGTTACTACTACCACGACATGTTGGTTGCTAGGGGGGAGGCGCCCCCTCTCAATCTCACAATCTCTGCCCACGCTCATCTCAACCATAGTTTGAAAGGGCGTCTGCCAGCAATAACGGTGCCAACTAGAAAACTTTTCTAATAATTCGTTTGATGAATTTCTTTTCCACGACAAAAAAAAAATAATAATATATATAAAAAAAAAACAAAAGCAAAAATATATCTGCTGGAAGCCATAGATATAAGGGCAGCAATATTCATTCCATAACCGCAGATGAAGCAAACAAATCTGAACTATGACGGGAATGCATAAGAGCGGTTTTGCATATTCCAATAAAGCTGCGGTCGACTTGCGTTTAAAATTGTCTCTTGATTTGCCTGCTATCGACACAAGCTCATTCCGACTTTCTCCCATATATGTCAACTGGAGAGTTCTCCAGCGTCAAAAGTCTTGGTCTTTGTTGAACGACTTACCTAATCTCTTACCTAATCTTCCGAATAGATACCAGACTTGCTAAATTTGGCGTCCTCTTAAAAGACCTTGTTCATTTGTCTTATGGATAAGGGCTTATAACAACCAAAACATTAATGATTTTACAACACTGGCAGTCCTTATGAGGACGCTGCTTAGCACTAACTTCCTCAACTTGATAACACTAAAGAAAACCCTCTGATATGAGCAATTTTTCAGCACTTATGGCAAATGTCATTTACCTACACTACCCAAAACAAAAGCTTAGTAAGACTGTTAGATCAGTAACGCTAGATGGCGCCACCAACTTCATAATTCATATTCTCCAATTGATTCGTATATTTTTAACAGTACGTAGGTACTTTCTTTGTCTAATATAGACGCCATCTACGCGGTTCGCCCTCGCGTCTTGTGATAAAAAGAAAGTTTAAAAGGACATTAACATTTCATGTCCTCAACTCACGCCTAATGTTCTGGACTAACCAGCTTGGAATGGATGTGAATTACAATTGCGACGTGACATCATAATAATTCGAGTGATTGCAATATACCGACTAAGAACCTATTGGGGTCTAGCTCCAGGTGTAATTTAAGTTGAAGTTGAAGCGATGCCGGAAAAGAGAGTTTGTTCTTCACCTGATTTAACAAGAAATGTAGAACATGCATGTATTTAGTATTCTTCAAATAATTAGGCAATTTATTGGCATAAATTAAATTAAATTAAATTTAAAATATACGTAATCTACGCGTCCCTCCCTCGAGCCTAGGGCGTGGTATCGTCCTGAAAATGAAAGAAATCTGAATAAATCATATCAATTTGATCTGTGCTTTGTGTAACCAACCTGTAATACTAGTTGAGATTTACAATTACGATTTCACAAAGAATGTTTCCAATTTTCCGACTTACAACTTCGTAGGGACCTTCTGCAATTCGAATGAACGACATTTGTCGGTTAAACTGATAATCAAGTATGTGTTGAGCTTCGTCTTCAAAATTTAATGGATCGCATTTATTTAGCGTACACGACGCTAACTGCAACGCCCATCACTGAGCGAGGTACCGTCCTGCTACGAGAGGGTAAATAAATAGGGAATAACCAAATAGGCAGGCACTTACGAGTTTACCAATCCAAGAAATTCAGAAGCAGGTTTAACAATGTTGCCTGTTAAACATTCCACTGTAAAGGCAATCGAATGAGAAGGATTAATAAATAATTGGATTCGAGTCTTGAACCCACCCACAACATTTACGTTCGATCATTATTATATGGCCAAATAATGTTCAATTAAATTATATCTAAACATGTTTTTAGCAGCTACTTACCGATCGATCTCGATCTGTTTAAATTGTGTGCTGCATGTGTAACCTATATGGAGTGGCAATCGCGTTGTAATATATGTATATATGGCTATCTATATAGTTGTTTTTGATATAGAATAAAGCTTGTGTCCTTTGTGCCATGTCCGGTTATCATTGTACCCGTCCACAAGATACATCATAAATTTCTAGTAAATTAATGCTCTATATATGCTTTGTCGTATTTTTTGAAAATCAAATTGTAAGATTGTTAAGTGTGCTGAACAAAAAGGAATATATAAATCATAAATCTTAGTTGAAATTAATTTTAATATTTTACTAACCTGTTTAGCGTGACCTTAGAAACCGTCTCTCGTTCCCGTGTGTGCGAATGCAAGGGCGACAGCGGGATCTGCAAAAATTTGGTTATTTTGTACAGAATGTGTTTGGCGAAACAACATATTTAAATAGAAATTAAAGCAAAGATAAGGCTCAATTGAATAATGAACAAATGCTGAGTAAATTATTTGCTCAATTCTCTTAAAATACATATAAGGAAAACAACAATTGGCCAAAAAATATCTCGAAACATAATCACAATTTTGGAATTTGGGTAAATTTGTTGTGTTCCGTATACGATTTGATTGCCAACTAAATTGTTTTGGCAGCAGCTGCCCCTGCTCGAAATCTGGTTGAGCTTCAAATTTGCCCGGCCTGCCAAGATAAACAAAAATTCGATGAGAGCTTCGCCTTGTTACAAAAAATATTAAATTTGAATTTTCTAGTGCTTGCATTTCTGCCGCAACGTAGTCCGCATGCATTTTGGCTAAGCCGGAAAAAAGACATATGTATGTATGATATTGTGGTTAACAAAACAATCAAATGATAAGAGAAATATAAATTATTTAATGTTAACAAAAAGTTACTGCTGGAGTTGAGCTGGCGTGCTCTCGCTGGCTGGTTCGACTCCTGGGTATCTAAGGCTCCTGGCGGATAACTGGGTGAAGCACCAAATTTCCCTATATATATCAGTCATACATCGAACTTCTTTAACGAATATGTAGCTCTATAGGAAGAATCGGTCGTAATTTCGTGTTGAAAAATGTTCTGCAGTTCGAAATATTCTGACGGTAATTACGTGTTCGCTAAGTCTTATTATATATCTAAGCTTTCTTTTTTAAATATATACCTGGTCTAGGTCCCCTATACATATTATTTTAAGAAAATATTTGTGTTTAGCAATATCCAACTGATTGAACCATTTGTTTGCATAGTTAACAGTAGCATGGTTTTTGATTAAAATGGACGTCATCTACGCGTCCCTTCTCGAATCTAAGGGCGTAGTGCCGGCCAGGTTTAATTTAAGCGGAATTTTTCGTGCAGCCGAGACTCGTCTTGACGAATTGATAGATTGCATTCATTTAAAGTACATCTCTGAGCGAGGTACCGTCCTGCTATGAGAGGGTATATAAATTGGGAGTAACCAGATAGTTAAGTACTTACGAATTTAGAAATTCAGAATCCATCAACAGAAGGTTGCTAGTTAAACCTTCAACTGTGAAAGACAGTCGAATGAGAACGAATAACCGAATTGGGTTCTGTTACCCACCCAAATTTACGTTCTGCCTAAATTATATTCATTTAAATTATATATCCACATGTTCCAGCATCGACTTACCGACCGATCTCGAACTGTTTAAATTGTGTGCTGCATGTTTAACCTATAGGGAGTCGCAATCGCGTTGTAATATATGTATATATGGCTATCTATATAGGTTTATATTTAAATAGAAATTAAAGCAATGATAAGGCTCAATTGAATAATGACCAACAAATGAAACAGTGGAGATATTCAACAGAATTAAAATTCGAGTAGGCGATGTCGGAGGAGCAGAGTGTTCGTCCTTCACCTGATTAACAAGAAATGTAATAAATATATTTGAATTATGCGCATTACTTGAGCTATGTGTGCGCGTGTGTATCTAACTTTGTGATGCACATACATACACACACACACACACACACACACACATGGCAGTATAAAATCTAGCTCTTTGGCAAATATCCTAACCAAGGCAACGTGTTTGCATTTTGTGCGTAGTCTCAGGGCCCGTTCTTGTGCCACAGCTCGTATACGTAATCTATTTAATTCAACCAAGCAAGCGTGTCAGTCATATGTGTGTCATGTGTGTGTGTGTGTGTGTGCGCGTATATGTATTGGTGGAAGCTGCGTAGCTTCGCTTTGGCATTATCAACTCATAAATATTTATTGAATTTTAAGAAATTTTCAAAAATTCGTTACAGAAGTAGCCAACGGTCCAGACCACACCAGACCAACCCAATCTCTGACCAACATCTGGATGCGGCGCTGCGTGGGCGGCAGCTCTGACGACTTGGCTATCAACACATATCCGTCATCGATTCTTCTTACCCGCCCGCTCTGCTCCTGCCTTGTCGCACCGCCCTGCGCTGGCCGCCTGTCGTTCCGTTTGCATTCTCTTATTTGGATTATAATTTTTTCCATTTCACATATGAATGCGTTTTCCTTGGTGGCTGCTCTCGCCCGCTTTTCTGCCCAGTTGTCAATTTCCATTTTCATTTTCATTGCAAGCGGCAAACGCGCCGCCGCTGGACACAAAGTTGATCAATGCAATCCTCGGGGCACGCATTGCCGTGGCCCCTGGATTGCTTAAGTGTTCGCTCGCAGTAGCTGTCTTAACTGAGTCCGGAAAAGATTAAGGAAAATGAATCAGCAAATGAAAAATGTTAAGTTTATATTAGATATCAACTTATTGGTTAGCTGGAAAACCAACAAGATAACATTACTAAAAACCACTAAGGATTATAAGGATATGCATTCAAATATATATTTATTCTATAACAATTCATTTATTTCGTAATGGACTCCTTATTATATCCATATATTTATCAGATTCAGCTAATATTCAAAGATCTATGCAAAAAAAGCATCGAAACCGATTACCGAAACAAACATGTGCAGGTGAATCTGTGTATTTGTATGTATGTGTGTGCATGTGCATAAGTGTATGTACATATATTTCAACGTTTATATGCATGTATGTGTGATTGCATGTGTGTATGTATGTATGCAAGTATGTGAGTGTGTATATTATCTCATGTAAAAACACAGACCAAGTTTACTTTAATTTTTAGTTTACTCTACCAGCTGTGTTGCACATTTAATAAAACGTGAGATGCCCTGCTATGCGATTCTCAAGAATTCAAGTAAGTCCCACACGTTTTCATGCTTTCATCGTAAGTGTTATGATAAAAAAGTGAGTTGGCAGACTAACAAACATTCTTGTTTGAATGTAAGTATGTACGAATGTTTGTTGGTATATATGTATGTATGTATGTATGTTTGCATGTCTGTGTGTATATATGTAGGTTTGTATGTATGTATGTCAGTATGTATCTATGTGGCTATGTATACTTTTGTTTGTATTTATTTTGGTATGTATTATTATTTATGTCTGCATATTTGTATGTTTGTATGCTTGTATGTAAATATATATATGAGTATGTATTTTATCGGTATAAAAAATAAAAGTATTTTTTTGGTGTGTATATGTATATGTATGGTTTATAATACTAAACTCAGACTAAATTTCATACCCGTTGCGCTGCAAATTAAAAACTTACTTATGCCCTTCTATGCAATTCTCATAAATTCAAATAAGTGTTTTCTTGTATTGGTTATATTGTTAGCAATTAGACTTAGCATTCTAACCATCACTGCACTACTCTCACTTTTATTTACTCTCTCTTACACTCCATCGCATTACAGTAAGGGACAGAGAAAGAGGCAGATATATTTCTTCCTCTTACCGCTTTTACTCTAAACTGCTCTCTACCTCTTTTTTCATTTAAGGTCCATCATTTTTCTGCGTGTAAATATAATTTCCTGGGTAAGTATAAAGAATTTAAATATTTTATATATAAATGAGAATATGTAATATGTTAAGGCTTGGACATGGATACATTTTGTGAATAAATATTGCGAATATTAATATTGAATGGAACTAACCAGATTGCTTTGTTTAATTCCGTGTGCTTATTCTGGCTTTGCTAGCAATAGCTTTGTTAGATACTTAGCAAAACATATAAAATTTAAATCGTAATAATAAGAAGAGGTCTCTCACTAAAGCAACGAAGGGCAAGCTTTAGACACAAATATAAAGCATTCAGCTAATTAATAGTGACAAATTAAAGGCCAATTAGCCAGAATAGGATATATATATATAAGCTCTGTGCTATACGGATTGTAAAGGCTTTGCCATTTCCACTGCGTTTCGTTCGGTTTCGCTACTCAACAACATCTTTCGCACATGCAACTGAACACTTTGGTGTTTGTAATTATGAAATGAACTTTGACCAGGTACGCGACCAATCTGCTCTTTGCCCTTTTAATCGCATTAAATGCTCATATTCCCGTTTATTCAACTATGCCCCAACCCAGATCCGAGCAAGCCCCCTCCATATGTATGAAGCTATTTGGAGTTACGCTTATGTTGTTTGTGCGGCCACGCCCACTGCCCACTGCCCAGAAAATGCAAAATTAACTTGTTGATGTGACGATGCAAAACGAATGGGTTTAGGGTGAGGCAGTGTAAAGGGGCTACGGGGCTAGGAGCTTGACTTGGCTTGGGTTCGGTTGGGTTGTGGTGGTGTTTGGTTATGGGGAATACCCATTTGATGGCAGTTTGAAAATCGTTGCGTGTTCGAATCTTATTAGTGGCTTATAATTACAATTGTATACAGGCCAATTATGTTACGAGACAAAGCGAGTGCGACCCACACACACACACACACACAGTCTCCCACACAGGTGCGATTGTGTATGTTGCTAATTAACCAACGTCAGAAATGGACGTTAAGTGCTTGAGTGTGTGTGTGTATGTGTGTGTGTTTGACTGTGTGTGCGAATAATCTCGATACTGTTGCAAGTATCTCGATAATGATGTTCATTTTGCAAGCAAATCTCATAATACACACACACACACACACACGTTTGCGCACACAGAGAGCTGTATTTATGTAAATGGAGACAGCAATTTATGCATATGTATTTGTTGCATAAGTTAGCGCTCAGATAATTAAGCAACCAACAGCCCCTCACAACACCCGCCACGCCCACCACACTTGCCACACCGCCAACGAACGCTTTGTGCAGCGAGGCAAGAGTCACCACTTGAGTGTATTTTGTAATTGAATCCACGTCTGAAATCCGTCTGTGGTGTGGTCGATAATTTCATTTTAAGACCCATTTTGAATACAAATTATAGCGCACGGACGTCATGGCAGCAGGTTATGGACCTTATCCGGGAAATCCTACACCAAGATCCTAACACCTGCATTGAGCCAGCTCTGAGTTTTCCGGCCAGTCTGATCGATTTTCACTTTTCCAAGCAGTTGTTGGATGTCCATATGCTTGATTATGGTTTCTATTTTAATGCAGATCTTTCATTTTTGACATGTCCAGTGTTGTACAACAAATGCGTATTGCTTTATATATACTCTTTACCGGTAAAAACAGCCGATCTCATACGTATAGCTTTGCCCAATTGTGTTTCTGAGCCTTCCATGGCAGCTAGACCCTTTGCTTTAAGGTTATACCATTTAAACTTTGCAGAA